AAATAAATAAATAATCGTTCGTCTGTAGAACCCTTTCGGTACCCAGCTGCTATGCCACCCGATGGAAGCACGAGAGCTGGGATACTGTCAAGTTGCCCAAGCCTAGACAGGAGAAGTCGAGATGCACAGGTCGGGTTCGAACCTTCCGGTCAGTAAATTCGTGCTCTAACTACTTCAGCCATCTCGCCCCCTGAGTATAATACTGTTGTACAGTGCTTCTCGACACGTCAGTATAGATTAGTTTCACAAAAAGGACAAAATTTCCATTGAAAATATCCTGTGTATGGGTGGGGTGAGCTATGATATAAACCAGACACGGGAAACGGACAAAATGTCAACAATACAAATCGCCTCATTTCAACAATACATCACTCAAACTAGAAAAAACACTGGCGAGACAATAGGCACGAATGTATGTGTATGTGTGCGGGGATAAGAGCTCCTTCCGTGATAGTGCATACTACAAGACAAATCATCTGATTGGGCCATTTCGGCTTTATTCAAACTTGTACAATACACAGTAGAGACCTAATCCCTCAGACACCTTCTTTCGAGCGTTCAAACAACTCACTCAATGAAATCATGAAATTCGTGACGATAAAATATCATGTGCTCACCTTTTGTAGGCTAGCTCGATTGAGTTCCGTCTTATCGATGACCTTGACGGCAACCTGGAATGGACAAACGCATGATGAGAGCGTTAAAAAACCGTTCAGTTGTAACACCCTTTAGGTGCCTAACTGCCATGTCACCAAACATGAGGGCTGGGATACTGTCAGGTTGCCCAAGCCTAGACACGGGAGGCTCAGAGGCGGAGGTCAGGTTCGAATCACGGACCTTCCGGTCAGTAGATTCGCGCTCTAACAACTGAGCCGTATCGCAACTGTCGTACAATCATATCAACTTAGTTAGACAAAGTCTCATAGTGAAAAGAAGGATGACATAGGGATAGACCTGGGCCTGACCAATCGGAAACATCCGAAGTGTCCCAATTTCAGCTACCCATACAGCTTGAGTAGGAACAGACAGCAGTAACGCCGTGGACGATAGTTAAGAATCCCATGTTGTGGTATGACCTACCAAGCACATAAAGGGTGCTAGTGCGTTACCCACCCACCGTACCATAATTGGTCCAATTCTTGGGTTACGCCAGTTCGAAGGGGACTCAGGGAAGGATAACCCAATATGTGCGACAAATGAATAAGTCAACGCAACGCGTGTAGCGTTGGGTGGTTTCCACAGACGAAGTAGATAATAACAGTCGTTCAGCTGTAACACCCCTTCGATGCCTGGCTGCCATGCCACTCGAAGGGGTGAGGCGGGATGGATCAAGTGGTTAGAACGCGAGTCTACTGACCGGAAGGTCCGTGGTCCTAACCCGACCTCTGCCACTCGACTTCCCCTGTTTAGGCTTGGGCAACCTGGTAGTATCGCAGTCCTCGTGCTTCCTTCGGGTGGCATGGCCGCTAGGCACCGAAAGGGTGCTACAGCTGAAAGATGCCACTCGGAGAAAGCACGAGGACTGCGATACTACCAGGTTGCCCAAGCCTAGACAGAGGAAATCGAGAAGCAGAGATCGGGTTCGAACCTCGAACCTTTCGGTCAGTGAATTTGCGCTCTAACCATTGAGCCACCTCACCCGCATGATGAGCAAGTCATGGTGTCACTCAGAACCAGACTCATACTGGCCTGACGTAGTTAGCCATCAGTTTAGGTTGAGTGACCGGCCTCTTGAGCAAGCAGTAACAGCAATGCGACAGGCATTGGATAACCACAGAGTGGAGGAAGCGCCTTAACAATCTCCCCCTGCATTTGGGTTGCGATCCATGAGTTGCGCATCATATGTTCCAGTCCTCTACGCTCACCCGAAGAGAGATGAAACTGGTCGTCTTCTTATTCACATACAACGGTGAAAATGACAACTGGAGAGCGAAGACGAATCGAACAAGCAGAAATCTTCCTTATCGTTTAGAGGTAACCTCGCATGAGGAGGATGACAGAAAGGACAACCGTACCAGCCGATCCCAGTGGAATCGACACTGGAAAACGAAGGCCAGAAGAAAACCATGAGTTGATTTGGGAAATGAATTTCCATGTTCCGGCCTTACTCCGCTGACGAATGCATCCTTAGAACTCCCATGTTCAAAAAAGGCAGTCCGTTTAGAGCGGTATAAATTGCCTTGCGGTCGGTAAACTGATGCTTAACCTTGAGTACTCGAACGAAAAGAAATCGACTGGTCCGGTCGTGGTGTCGATTCGGTATGCAGGAGTTATGCCAAAATAAGATACGAGTGACCGAAAATTCGGGGCTGGGTTTAAACCTTTTCATCCTGAGCTACCTCACGCGACTACCGACTGATTTCTCGAGGACACATTCATCACCAGAAAAATCGATCGTGCGGGAAAGGTAGTCTGCAGCCGGAATGGTTAGGTCATGTGATCCTGATCTCCAACCATACACTGAATACGGTGGTTAAAAAGCTTGCAGTCTTCATTGATCTCTTAATTTAAGAAAAAAAAACAACTGATATCTGCAGCAGGATTGTTTATCGTGCGATTCACGCTGATCACATCAACTGACCGAGTGCAGCGAACCGGATACGAGGCGGATGCAGGCCAGTCAAAACCGAGTGTCTCCGCGTTTCCCGTCGTCATTATATCCATGGCAGTTAATTCGCTGATCTGATGTATCAGTGAAGATCAATCATAGGATGTTCTGTTGTGGCTACCCAGTCACCCACATACTTGACTGTTCAGCTCACAGGATCACGAGACTTGTCTTTTATCATACTTACAAATTGGGTGGCCGAAATCCAGAATGAACGATCAAGCACAACCTGAAAATCTCCAATACAGTCCAATAATTGAATTGCGTAGGACAAAGGCGTTGATGGGGCGCACAAAGTTGGCATATCTCTACTGCGTCAGCTGACACGTCTTGGCGGATCACACACAGAACATGAACAAGAGCGAAGAGCCATCGATTGATGGTAGCCACGTTCTAGTGACTGCGTGAGTGTGTGCAACCGGCCAGGCGCGTGCGTCCGTGCAACCACAGTCCGCGCCCACCAATCAGAAGCTGGGTGACTGCGACCAGAACGCGGACGACGGCTGACGTTTCGTGAATATTTATTAGGACAGCAGAAGATGAATTTAGCTGCCACAATACCGCGGGAGAACCAACAAGGAGTATTGCAAGGGAGGAATGACAATGCTTTAAGGTCGCTGTGCAGCGCGAAAAAGGGAGGGATGACCAAGGATATGAGTCCCACTTTATCAGAGAAATCGGGTTCTGTGACCACTGAATAAGGTCGGATTCAGTGCGACTAAAAGCATTCAACCGCGGTCATTTCAACGTAATAACGAACACCCCACGGAGAGGAGGGATCGTGCAGATTGTGAAAACTCTCCTGGTCATATGAGAATAGCTAAGACACATTACCCCACCCAGCTTGGTACAATGTGTGCCATAACGTAAGAAATAAAATCAAGGAACACCAAGATGAACAACATGGACGGTCAACTTGTAGACACGTGAACACTTGCGCCAGTGGTTTATGGCCCCAAAAGAGTCCCTAGCCGAGAACAATCGTCCTTTTAGGGTCGTGGTAAGCTAACAGCTACCCCACATCAGTAGCTGACCTCTGGATTATCGTTTTCAATCTGATCCTGAATGCACGAGGAGGCCGATGTTTAGGCACCCGTAGTTGGGCGCCCATCAGAACCACCCCTATGGGGAACGGTATTCGCCCTCTGTCGAGCGCCATATAAAGACATTGGTTGCGATGTTGGGGGATATAGGTAGCTCGGGTGCGTTGCTTGGCTGTCGGTCTGTTTGCAAGCTTCATTGTTGGATTGCAAACGCTCCATCAATGATCGAGGTGACATCGTCAGTCCGGTGCTGACGATGCAATTTCGATTAGTGAAGAAACGTTTGTAATCTAACTGACAACAATTAAGGACTTTGTTGGTTGGTTGTTCGGTAATGAAAACAACACTCAGTCTGTCAGTATCCTTAAATCGGCATAGAAATATGGCGAACGCGTCCTTTAAGCCATAAATCGATGCCGCGTCGAAGCAACAAATGAAAAAGTTCTCTGGAAAAGTTGTTGGAACTTTGCTAACGCGGTAGGATAAGCGGGGAGTTGGAAACAGCTTTACCAAGGTGTGTCAAGCCACTTCCGATGTGATTGCGGGCGAGATGGCCCAAGTGGTTAGAGCGCGAATTTACTGACCGGAAGGTCCGTGGTTCGAACCCGACCGCTGCCTCTCGACCTCCCGTGTCTAGGCTTGGGCAACCTGGCAGAATCTCAGCCCTCGTGCAACCTTCGGGTGGCATGGCAGTTAGGCACCGAAAGGGTGCTCTAGCTGAACCACCGCTGATGTGACTAACCAAAGGTCGTGACTGAAGTACAACAGGTTTCGTTAAGTTCCTTGGGCGTCTGAACGCTAGATTTTGTTAAGCATCTAACTACATACGTTGTATGTTGCACCTACGAATTAAGTAAACCATTGGCGACATTGGCGCTATGCGCTCAAAACCCCATACATCACCGAGCATTTTGTTCAAAAAAGGCAGTTTTGTGCGACTTTGCGATTTTGCATGCAATTATCACGGTCTGTAAAACAAGTCTGGTCGAAGAGAGACCACCCCTATTACTCGTGGAGATGTATCATCAAACATTGTCAGATATTTTTACCAATGACTAAGACTTCCGGAAAGGTCGTATTGTGTAAAAATCATTCAGCTGTAACACTCTTTTGGTACCTAGCTGCCACGCAACCCGAAAGAAGCACGGGTGCCGAGATACTGTGTTACCCAAGCCTAGACAGGAGTAGTCGAGAAAGCGGGTTTGGGTTGGAACCACGGACCTTGCGACTAATAAGGATATCGAGCCCCGCATTACGAGAACAGCCCCCAAACTTCAAAAATAGGGATTGGTTATCCTGTGTGTTGGGCAGTTTCTTTTTGGCTTTGCGCCGCAGCAAGCGGTTCGCGTGACAAATATTCATAAACGCAAAACGATTGAACAGAATGAAACTGCTGTGGAAACGTGACCGCACTAGCGTCAACAACAAACCTATTTTGGACAAAATAACAAGGTAGGCGTCAGCTGGAGCTAAACAGGGGTCACATGACTTCCTTATGAGCAACAACGAAACCACCAATTCGGTTGTCGATGAAATACGAAAGAATATTTATGGCCTTCCCACCTTGCTCACAAATAATTGACAAGAGACGTTGATTTAGTTCCCAATGAAGCTCAGTTGATGTCGAAAAGTGGGGTAATCGGGAAAAACAACAACAAGGATAAGTGTGCCTGCATCCACGTCAAGATCTCGAAGCTGCTGAGTTTCTTTAGTTAGAATTCATGAACCAACCTGCAACGGACACAACAATCAAGCACCTCCCACAAAAGCTGATGGCTAAAAATGTCCGTAAGTCACTAACTGACTGACTGGTACATACATGTCAGTGAATAAAGGCTTGCGTCAATCAATTCAATCAATTCATCAGCCATAAACCGTGTACCATAGGCACATTGGTTCCAGCTGCTACAGTTTCGACCACCGGAAAACGGGAAAGTGGAATACAAAACCAAGCCTTGGAGGCGAAGGCAGGTTCAGTTTCTTTGGGGCAGCTATGCATTGAATGCAATAGCTTTGATGCACGGGCGCCACTGACTGCGCGATTGGGGCTATTTCCGCCAGTGTCATCAACCACTGGTGATTCGAGACCCGGGGTCTCCATCCAGGGAAGCAGCAGTTTCCCACCTGACAGATCAAGAGCATGAATTAGCGTTTTGGATTCGCGGCAGCGCTTGATCGGAAAGCCCCAGGTGATCAGACGTAACGACGAGCAGACTAACTAGGATGGCGGTTGGGATGTTGAACTACACATGCATGCCACAGCTTGTCTTTCGAAGCGTGTATTTGATGAACACTAAACTATACCTAGTGGGAGTCTATTTTGCCGCGACATGCACCGAAACTATTTGAACTAAGACGTGACAAAATGAAGAGAGAGAGATAAAAAGGAACAGCAGTGCGACTTCCGCGTCGGTGGTTTACCTGTTGTCCAGTGGATACGTGTTCAGCCAACTTGACTTTGGCGAAATTTCCCCGACCCAACGTACGAATCAGTTTGTATTTGCCAATGTTTGGCTGGTCTTTCCACGGCCGCCTACCAGCGGAACGCTGAGACGATGTCGACAGTCGTCCGCCGTTGGAATGGTTCGGCGTAGCTGATGTATCATGTGAGTTCCCACTGTTCTCTGTGAGTCCACACGGTGTGTGATTCATGGCCTCAGGCATGGTTGGGGGTTTACTGACAGTACTGTTCTTCTGAGAGGAAGATGAACGGGCAGTCTGAACGAGGGGGGAGAATAAAACAGCTCGCGTAACCAGTGAAAGGATAAAATAATGCCATTGCTGGGCACACGAGCTAAGCCGTTGATACCTAACCGCAAAATGGCACACGTACAGAATGGTGTTGATTCAACTGAGAAGTCGATCGACTCACACACACAAGAAGGATGTTCAGCGGAAAGCTATTTACATAAACCAAACAAACATCGATCTGCATAGAAAAGTCAGTGAGAAAAGCAAAGAAAACGAAGCGTATAAGGACGAGGCTAACAAAGAAAAGCAGGTCCTTGTTTAAAACAGAGCCACTAATGGCCTCATCGACCTCAGCCCACAGAAAGGGCGTCACAGACTCCGGTGATGAAGTTCTCAGTCTTAGAAAAGGACAGCGAAGTTGATTGAGGTAGCGAATCCACAACAAGGGCACAAATAGAGTGCTAATTCGGACGCAGTTGTCCGGAAAATCCAGTTTAGTATTGATCGTAGGGTAGAACCTTGAAAAATAACCGCTGATTACCAATTCAGAGAAGTCTAGATGCCAGAAGTGGTATCACCTTCGTCCACCGATGGCTTAGTTTGCATCCTTCAAACGCTGAGAAACGCTATATCAGGATTGATTTTAAAAAAAGCGTTTTAAGAAAGCCGGAGTCTGTAGCACTATGGAAGGAGGATAGCCTCATAACAGGACGATCGCCATCACCATCAGAGCCAGCAACATCAGCGTTGACACTGATGCTTCTTGGTCGCAACAAAACAGATAGGATAGTACGCAACCGGAAACATTGGCGGTAATGGGAACTTGCACGAATAAGCGAATAAAAATAAAGAATGAGAGCTAAAAAAAGGAGAGGTAATTGGCGATGCACTACTCATAAGGTTGCTGAAAATTCTTCGACAGCCCACGACTGGCTTCGCCCTTCTTGGGGCTCATCATGTAGGCGCAGAGGTGAATTACACAAGGGAACTCTGCCTTCATCGGCACTGCTTTCCCACACACCACTCAGGTAGCAAACTTTGTATCATTACAACTTAATCAACCTGTCTTTCAGTGCGTGCTGGATCATGAAACCTGAACACTTCACCTGCAACCCGCACGCTCCAAACATTGCAGTTAAAAGACCCATTCATATCGCACACTGGTGGACATTCTGAACTGCGTTGGCTTCCAACAATCACGTTTCTGCATTTGTTTACGAATGAAAACACAGAGCACGGAAGATTCTAGGTTACTTTCAGTGCATCCTCGAAGCACAGCCAGGAAACATAACAAACGAGAGAGTTAGCCGGGTTCCAAATGAGTCTCTAGAAAAAAATCAAATTAGTTTGCAGATGAGTGTATTTCGCTTATTTCGTGCAATTTGGTTTCAAGTAGAACATAAGGTTGACGGAAACTCGGGGACTGCGCCTACCTGATGAGACCCAAGAAGGGCGGAACCGGTCGTGGGCTGCCGACGAATATTCAACGACCTTATGAGTAGTGCATTACAAACACCGCATAAAAAGTGTAGGTGGTGTTACAATTTCTGAACCTAAACTAAACACCAGAAAAAAGCACGGTTGCTAATTATCGCGAACACATTTCGTGACATCCTCTCCTTTTTTCTCGGTACGCTGTCTTCACATGAACAAATAGTGCAGAATGTTTTCAGAGAGCGAAACAAAGTGATAAAAATAGCGCCTTTGAGATACACCTCATCCTCGAAAATTTCCGGTAAAACGGGCAACCATGCGGTCAATTTTGACAACAAATAGATTGATCGAACTCCTCGCGCAAACGGCCGCTACCACCAAGCACCGAATTGGAGCATGTGTATCGGAGAAGCAGTAAGCATGCTCCTCAAGTCTTACCGCGATGTGGACAGCACATGACTTGGCAGAAAGGCGTGAAAGAGATCACGAAGAGTTTGGGTGTTGTGCGCCTTCCAGGATAGGGTCGCGTGAACCCATCTGTGCTTGGCTGGAGACGTTGCAAGAAATGGCGGCTAATCGATGTCAGTGGCGTTCGTGCGGTCAGTTTCTTTCCAGATTGTCTGATTGAGCGGTTGGAGGTGCAGGCACCTCAGAATGCTTGACATAGGCCAGCACTGGGTCTCCTCCCTCACCCTTATGGTTGTACGGCAGTGAAGCATCAGTTCCAGCACTGATGTTGCTGTCTTTGATATGATGATCCTCAAGTCTTGAAAAATTGTTGTCATAGGACCTTCTAGATGAGAAAATTACGGAACCAATCAAATGCTAAGACTTATTCGCTAAGACTTACACGTCGATCAATACAGTCTAACGAAAGTGACTTATTCAGCCCATTGACATCAAAAAAACGATAGTTCTCCAGCACAACGATGAATACCACTATACATCGGGCAGTTTCCTCTTCCCAAATAGACACAAATGCGCTAGATAGACATTAGCTAAGCAATTTACAGTTCTTGAACAGAGCAGGGCGAAAGCACCCGAGGCCATGAACAACAGGAAACTTCTGAGGTTGAGGATGCGCCATATTCACAATCAAAGCCAACAGTCAGGANAGGATGCGCCATATTCACAATCAAAGCCAACAGTTAGGACTGGAAGTAGCATGTAACCAAATGAATCCATGTTTGAAGTATTCCAAACCCTCTCAGCTGTATATCGCAGAGGAATTTCATTTTATGGTAGTCTCACTGACAAGAGGCTTCTGAAGATCAATCGAACGAGTCAAGAGAAAAAACTCGCCTGAATGTCCAGCATTTGCACTTCTACTTCTTCGGTCAATCGAACCCACCGGTCTGCGCGGACGCCGCTTTACCAGGCGTCGGCAAATGTGTCGAGGTGGGTTATGGTTGGAAGCGGCGGGAGTCATTTGTCGGACCCTCAGCTAAGCCACGGCCATCTCAAGGATCCATTGGCTAGATGAGATTGGCTGGGTAGTACCGCGACTGGAAATAGCGGAACTGTTTGGGGATTTGCCTGTCTGTCTTCAGCGATCATGGGGGCGAGGTGGCCCAAGTTGTTAGAGCGCGAATTTACTGACCAGAAGGTCTGTGGTTCGAATCCGACCTCCGCCTCTCGACTTCCCCTGTCTAGGCTTGGGCAACCTTGCAGTATCCCAGCCCTTGTGCTTCCTTCGGATGGCATGGCAGCTAGGCACCGGAAGGGGGCTACAGCTGAACGCGCTTTCTTCAGCGATCATTAACAACAGACAGGAAGACAGGCTTTTGAGGATGCTGTTTTGACAGGCATATCCGATTTCTAAGTCCACGAGCTTCTCAATAACTGAACGAGTTGTTGACGTTTTGGGTGGCCCTGAAATCTCTATGGATAGTAGAAGCAGACAAACACACGATCGGAGTCCACGCTGCTATTCCGAAATGGGTGGCAGGAATTTCTCGACCCTAGCCACCGGTATCTGAGGGTAATGTGGTCTATGTGGATTCGGGGATGGTTCTTTAGTAGGCAGCATGTATTCAAGCGACTTCCACTGACCCAGAAACTGCCACTGTCAAAAAAGTCTATGATAAGTACGCACTTCTGATGAACGTTTTAAACTGTCTGTGAGTCTCGTCCCCAAACCAAGAAGATCAGCCTCAGCACCGCTGAACCTACCTATCTTAACAGGCTTGCCCATCAAGGGATGCACCGAAAGTTTGTATTCTCCGACTTCCGGACGTGTGAGAGTATACAAAAAGCTCTCAAAAAGTTTCCGTACAGAAGTCGGTGTAGGTCAGTGATGTCCACTCTCTCCATTCCTATTTGATTTCGTGACCGATGAAATAATGAAACGAATGTTGGAACGTCTCCGAAACCCCGGTGTTCAAGTAGTCTCTGAATAAACTCTTGACCATCTTGAATATGTAGACGGCATCGTTCTCGTCTTATAAGAGAGAAGACAGAGGTATTCTTGAATGAACTGACCAAAATCATCCCTTCCCTTGGTATGCGCTTAGCACCCACAAAGTGTAAGGTCACGCTCCTGGACACGCTGTCACTGAACACACCACTAATGATGCATGAATAGAAGCAAAAGTCATTTGTTGTCCTGCTTGTTTTATTGTGCGAACCCCAAACGCAGCTAAGTAGACTGACTTTCGGCGTATGAAAACTACGTTCGAATCGTCTAGGGTTGTTACAGAATGCGAACGCACAAAAGCTGCAATCGAGCGTGATGCGTGGTGAAAAAATGGTCAGTGCTAACGCTGGGACCTGCAGAGATGGAATTCACATTTGAGTGGGATGGAGTGTAAGTACACGTGAAAGTGTAGAAGATAGGCGTCGGCGGTAGCATTTTTCCGCTCCCCATCGCTGCATGCAGAAAATAAGGCGACCCCGCCGCTGGCACAATGCGACGGATGATTTGGCATGATAGCATTCCTAGTCGTACGTAGGCTAGGTTACTGTCAGGGCGCCCACACTTAGGGTTCATAAAATGCCCTATGGACGTCATTCTACGCTCATCAGTGACAATAAGCCGCTCCCTCCCAATTCCCCCACTTGACAGTCCACCTACAGCACTGTATTTACAAAATAACTTATCAGCTCCCGCCTCCAATGCGGAGCTACTTACCCCACCTCCCCAAATCATCCACGAACGATACTGCGGCAGCTACAACCGCTGTACAAGTATGCAGTTATCACAGCTGACAATGATGATGATACCCCGGCGTTTCCGGATCGAAGAAAGGCATCCCTGTTTACACAGCAAACCGTTTGCAACGTTGCACTACAATGCTTTTTGGCTGCGGTTTGTCCTTTATATACCATTATACTTATGCTATTGATCAAGCTGGTGCATTATCAAAAATCATGGATTCTCAACGTCAACAACTCGAGGACGCTGTTGCTGCCGCAATAACGATAGAATTAGAGGTTAACGCAGTGCTCTCAACTATAATCCGTAAACTCCCAGTTCACAACGCCACTGCTCGTGATCCGTTAATTCAAAAAGTAATCAAACTGAACCGTACACACTAGCATTCAGTATGTTTCGATAAACAACTTCAACCGTTCTACCAACGTCGATTCTCACTTTCCGAGGTTGGTGGTTGCATATTCTTCACAGAACGGGTGATTTGCCCCGGAATTACAGAGGGATGTCCTTGAAAAATTTCACTCTATACATCCCGGTATCAACCCCAAGAACTCGCTAACATGTAGTTATCCCTGCTGGCCGAACATGGGTGGGCAGTTAGAACTTGTACGCAAGTGTTCAAAGTGCCAACCATCAGAAAAATCCCCACGGAAAACAGAATTATGTTCGTGGCCCGTTCCAGAAACTCCATGGTCACGACTGCATGTTGATTTTGCGGGACCGGTCAATGACTATCAACATCTGATCCCGATAGATACATAAAATGATAATCATAATCGTAGCACTCCTTCGGTGCCTAGTTGCCATGCCACCCGAAGGAAGAACGAGGGCTGAGATAATGTCAGGCTGCTCAAGCCTAGACAGGAGAAGCCGAGATGCAGAGGTCGGGTTTGTAATACGGACATTCCACTCGGTAAATTCGCACTCTAACAACTGAGCCATCTCGCCTACAGCAAATGGTCAAAACTGTTTAACAAGAATCATGTTACTGCTTGTGCTACCATTTCAAAATTGCAACACGTGTTCGGCCACTTTGGAGTTCCGAAAACCATTGTCTCTGATAACGGAAGTGCATTCACGTATGCTGAATTTTCCGCTTTCTGTCAAGAAAATAGCATACAAAATGTGCGACCACCACCGTTCCATCCTAAATCAAACGGTCAACCGCACACTCTTAAAACTCAAGAAGGAGGGGAATACACTGGGAACCATCGAGACATTTCTGCTGAGTTACAGGGCGACACCAAATGTTAACGCTCCACACGGCAAGTCCCCAGCGGATGTACTTATGAACTAGAAGATTCGTTTACCGGTTGACGCCATCCGTCCAACACCACATTCGCCAACTGGTGGAAACATAAATATGGAAGTTCAGTTCAACCGAAATCACGGTGCTGTAAGTAACATATCTATACCCGGCTAATCTGTGCTAGCTATCGTGTGGAAAGATGGACACAAGGTATAATTATACGCCGGGCTGGAAAAATCGTTTATGAGGTACATGTAGGCTCCTCCATCTGGGTCCATCATGACAATCAGCTATGCTCTTCCTATCTCCCAGCGACAGCTACATTCGGTCCTGTTCTTCCACTGCAGATTCTTCTCCACACATTTGAACTAGCTCAAAAGCCAAAATCACCAGAACCGATGAATAAACCAGCAATTTTCAAAAGTTGCGTACCTAGAAGACGGACCGAGCGAATACGAAGACCTGTCATACGAATGTAACTAAACCCTGAGCAGCAACCCCACGATCGAGCACTTCAAGGGGAGTGTTAGGAGGACCACTTCCAAACGAACAAATCCACGATTTGTCTTGTATACGAAAACCTTGTTTCTATATTTCAGCCTCTCACTGATATCCTATTGAACTGTTAGCTCTTTTCATATTCTGGTTCAGTTGAACCCCATATCACGAAACGATCCACTTGTTTGCAGTATAACTTCCCCGAAGTTGTTTGTATTCTCCGTTTCGGTGAACTGAAGAGTCAGACTGATACATCACTAGAGGCCATAAAAGTCCACAACCGAAGTCATCGGCTCACAAATCTGATCACAAGGCATAGGGTGGATGCCGGTATGTCACTACAGTGGTACAAGTTTTCTTAAGGAACAAGTCTGTTCCAAATCTCATCCTGGACTGCCAGAAGACTGTGTTCGTCAGACTTCCATCCACCGACAAACCTGGTATGAGAAACTCTGCAAGTGTCAAAGTGAAAACTCCAGAATCGCTCAGTGGGTCATTCAGGTAAACAAACCACCGACCGTATTCCATACTGACCCAAAATAGGCGAAATCGTGAAGAAAGCCTGAATGTTGGCGATCCACTAGAGCTTTTTCATCTTCTTAGTGCGGTCTATAGAAAACTTACCAATAGAACCACGTTTGCGCACTGGAGATAAAGGACCATTCGGGGATGAAATGGTGGATAAAATAGTCCAGCCAATCTCTAAGTAACACCAGCCTTCAGTTGGGAAATTTACAAACATCGATATTGCAGCTGTGCAGAGTTATATGTAACACTTAGTCATCAGAGATAATTGTGGTTGTTAGTCGGCTCGAAAACAGAGAAGCTCCAGATGACTGTATCCTCTTTTCTCGTAATAGTTTTGCCTCCAAATAAACCGTGTTGTATCATTTTGGAGGCGCAGTCAGTTCAATATATTTGGGTGTCATGACAGTTTATCATCAACTGGTAATTTGCACTCAGCTCATGTACTACCGTTGTTAGACGATTAAAGCGTCCATTACGCCCTTCTATTCTGTCTTCCTTCTAATCTCGACCTGAAACCACTCGACTCGCAAAACTGGGGTATTTCGACTTCACCCCAGGGCCCTGAGATGGGTGATGAAGCGACATACGGAAATCACCGGTGAAGAAGTCACAAAAATACTGCCCATAAAACCTTTGCCCTGTGTTTCTCGAAAGATCTTTGAAAGTGTAAGATGCTCGAACTCGATCCAGTCAAAGTGGTCTCCACACAAGACAAGATATTCACCCCAAGTCGACTTCTGGAAGATCGGGTGGAATTTCAGCAGCTGATCATTGCCAACATAAAATGCATTCAGCTGTAACACTCGGTGTCTAACTGTCATGAAACCAGAAGGAAGCGCAAGGACTGGAATCCTGCCAGGTTACCCAAGCCTAAACAGGGCACGTCGAGAGGCAGAGGTTGGGTTCGAACCATAAACCTTCTGGTCAGTAAATTTGCTCCCTAACCGCTGAGCCATCTCACCAACTACCATCTACGAACTGCGAAGACTTCCGTGTTGCGTTTGATTCTTCCCACAGTGGGTCACCATGTACTATCCTACATGTTGATGGCGTGCCGGCTCCATTCACTGCTCTCATCAAAGCTTAGTAATTAGCAGCGAAGTAGAAGAACCCCCCGAGGTTCATTTCGCCTCCGGTGCCAGAGAGGAATATCCTTCATCACCAGTGTTATTCGGTTCGAGTAATGAAGCGGGGATCCGCTACTTCGGCGTCCGAGTTCAAACTTCAGACATCTAATACGCCCACATTGGCGAAAACATCGAATTTCTACAAGCCGTTATTGATAATCAATTACCGTGAAGGACTTCGGATTGGTGCTCCGCTCAAGCATGACAGAATTCTTCTGCAGGTAAGCACCTGCTCATATAATAAACCTTCGCACAGATCATGCAACTGAACGCGCCAATGAATCCCGGTACTTCCGTTTCACTGTGCTAATTGAAAAGGTTGAAGAAAGAGAATGATCCACATATGGGTAAAGCAGGGTACGCCTTTAGGCAACTTGTGAACACTTAAAGAGAAGTGAAACTGAGGCAAGAAGCTTCATGTATTCAGAGCGACATTTCACCAAGTTTTTACTCAAGATTATGAAACTTGACACCGTGTAAACATACAGGCTGAACGGGTTTTGGATCACTGGTATCTAAGGCACATTTTGGGTATCCAGCAGTTCAAAAAGACCTCCAACCCGCTGGTTAGAGTGCGCCGACTAAACATCTCAAGCAACTACTGCAGAAGCGACAAACTAAATAATTCGGCCAAACTGATGGAAAAGCCGAAAGCGGGCCTCGAAGAAAAACGAAGTGGTCCATTCGTCATTCACAGGGTGATGCTGCAATAGGCAAATGGTCACTTTGACCGGTACTGACAAACTAGATTCCGGGGTCTCAGACTCAACCAAGTAAACGGTAGTCGTTGCTGGAATCGGAAGTGAGTCTCACTCTATGTGCAACTTGCATCTGGCCACCATTCGTGAGTAGCAAAATAACGGGACACTTATGAAGCCTACTTACGCCGTCACGGGAGCCAGGCACAAAGAAGCACGGATGTCTGAGGTATGCAGATTAGGCACGACGGACCCAACGAACCTTAAGAAGGGGGTCGACGATTGACAATATATTTCAGCTAAAAACCATGTACCGAAGTAGTGATTCCGTCCATTGAGGGTAAGGATAATAACCAAATCATGGATATGCGCAGGAGGTGATAACCCGATTAGTTCTCTCTCCAAAAAGCTCCAAAAGCTTCCCTACAAAAAGTG